TATCCCATAATTTGATGGTGTTAAATTTCGTAAAAGTCACTGTAATTCGCTCTCTAAAGAACTCAAACGAAATGTTCACAACTGTAACATTGTTTTCCCAAGAGTCATGAAATCTTGTTTCTCACATAACTATATTATCTTCATATATTTATCATTGAGAGTTGATTCTCTTATCTAGTCACTAGATCTGTTTATTTGTTTGTACTAAGGGAATATACAAAACATGAACAAATAGCAATTTTGCAGTGCTGTAAGTAATTTTTTGAGTAGCCAGTTATTACAAAATAGTTTTACAACAATAAGAAATAACATATACCATTACAATAAAAACATATGGGAAAATCAGAAAGCAGTCAACCAATTTTGCCAATTGCCTAAAACATTTTGAATAAAAAAATGGAACTATAAGATCATCTTCAACAGCAATAAGATCAAAAGTTCTCAAAATATTACACAATATGCAGAAATGATAATAATGTTATGATAAAGTATATTAATTAAAGTATTTTAGTTTGCATCAGATATATCACAGGGGTGATTAGAGGTGACCTAGCCTGATAACAAAACAACCAGTCAATATGGTACGGTTCATCATGTTCTGGGTCGCAGGTCCTTAATGACGGGCTACCCGCAAATTACAAAGTAAACAATCAACAAGGTCCTGGCAAGTCTTGCATTGAATATGTGAATCAGGGAAACCATACCCTGCATTACATCTATGTACCCTAGTCAATACCCATGTTTACACAATACAATAACATTGTTGTTGTCAACCAGACCAACACAAAACAGTTGTTACCCAATTTACCAGCTTCATTTTCCATAGAAAGTTGATCCAATGTCAGTACCAAGTTGCTGAGATGTTTCTCAGGTGGTGCACTTCAAGTGAGAGCTATAACTATTTTATTGTTCGACAAATAAAATTAAAGTACATGTTACAAGAACACTTATGTACAAACTTGGCAATCAATTTTCATTAACAACGAACTTAAAGTCAAATATAACTGCTAAATAAATTCTCTCTGACCAAGAACACACGATTGAGTGAGAACTTTACAAATATAACAGCTCAATAGATATAGATTTCAAAAATAGATAAATTATTTTAAAGTAAAATCTAGTGTACTTTTACTTTCATTCTCATGTACTCACAGTACATGAGAATACAGTCCACAAACACAAGTGACAGTATTCTTGATAGAAACATTTACCAATTATTATTCTCCTCAGATAGCTTTTCAAACAAACATTCTTGCTACCATAGCAATGTTTGAGAAGCTGAAACACAGTGCAGGTAATGTTGGTAAGTTGTATTGTTGTATTGTTCAGTTCAGAGATGAAACCACACAAAACTATTGAGATTTATTCTCTTAACAAAGAAGTTGTACAAACACCGTCAGAGAAAGTAAACATACCTACAGTATGTTACCCTTGCAGTGATGATGAACAAGGGAGGCTTGGAAATATTGCATTTTGAACAAATAGAAAAAAGCTTCTGATAAACTATAATCAGTCTGCTGAGAAATTATCAGTTGAATTTGACTTTGATCATCCACAATAAAACAAGGCAGGTTTGCTACCGGGCTAGTTAAATTAACCAGTTTCTTGAATAATTTCATCTTGTGAGTGACAAACAAAACCAAAAGTGTATGCATTATGGGTGTTATTTTCTCAAGTCAAGGAAGTTATTTTTTGTTTGTTATTTCAAATCAATTAATTT